ACTGCTTCTTGCCGCCTTGTAGTGGATGATGAAATAACTGGATTGGAACAAGAGAAGTATACGAGTTGATGGGAGATTTTTCTCGAACCCTCGCTTTGCAAGCGACATTGCTCTCTTCTTGAGAAATATCACTGAAGCGCACACGATGTTGAAAAAACTAAACGAAGTAGGGAAGCGGATCAGTTCATGAACGCTTTTCGAGGATGAATAAAATTAGAAGACTCTCCAATTGCGCAGTCGTCCAAGTGACGGACCCGGAGTTCCGAGCCCACCTGTTCGATACAACACTTCTCCCTGCACTCTGTTACGCAGCAGAGACGTCTAACACTGTGGCTACGTCTCTGTTGCGTAACAGATTCGAAGGCCTCCGAACAACTCACAGAGCGTTGGAAAGACGTCTTCTGAAGTGTAACCGATGCACTGCATCTCGTTGGAATTCGCAATTCAGATATTTATTTATTTATTTCAATACACATAACGTGCATCAAAATGAAAATAGAAATAAGTATCATGCTCAAGCAGTCACATCTTAAATTAACTAAGTGGCTTCTACATTAGAGTGGTCAGGTCGTTCTCCTTCTCCAGTAGAGAACGACCTGACCACTCTAATGTAGAAGATACGAGATGTCCTTGAGGCAAAACATCGTTGGGCTCAATGAGAAGGACGAACGACAGATGGACACTAGGAAGAATGGAACTTTCGCGAAACAAAACGTCCTCTAGGGAAGCCACCGACCAGACGGGCTGACGTGTTTGTTGCACGGATGGATCAGCTAAATTTTCAGCTGCTAACGAGTCCGAGTCATGGATCTTTGCGAAGACCTGCTCCTAAGCCCTGATCTTGAATACCTCTCTGTTCTTTAAGCACATGACCATATTTGGCAGTGCTGCCTGAATCAGACATACCCAAGATCCAAAGCAATGTAAGTTCAGACAAAATATTATTGATCTGGTTCTCGATTTGCAATTGCCAAGGATTCGTGGGCATCCATCTTTCTAGCAGTAATGAGTAATTTGCACTTTGCTATTCTTGTGAAGATAAGACGATTTTCACAAGTTTAGTAAGCCATAAACTTTGCAAACCCTATAGAAATCTAAAGAGAGACGACTTTTGAGCCAAACTAACATAATCAAAATGTCAAATCTTGATCTTACTCTCTATCATTATTAGTCATGATTATGCACCTCACGTCTTGAAAATAAGATTTTAACAAACCGATTCTTGTAGCTCGTAGCGATAAGAATCGACTTTCGAAGAAA